ACTAGCATAATCAAGTTTTTTATCTACTGTATTCAGAGAACATATACTTTTCTATAAAAATATTTTAAATCTTGCAGTTTTCTGTTAACAACAAAGCATTTGCACTTTCCAAGCACGGAGACACTTCATATAAGTAGAGTAGAAAGCTCAAAACATCAGGGCACTCCAACCAAAACTGTATGTAAAAAGTGGCTCTAATCAAGACGCAGTGTTCAGTTTGGAATTTTTTAATTTTTTTATTTTCCAAACTTGATATACAATTTTATATTGCATATCTTTTTTCTTTTAAAAATATTAAATATTTTAAAGCAACCTTGCAGGTACTTTTGAGACATTGTTGAAATAGAAATCTGAAAAGGAGTCTTTTTGCAGCACTAGAATTATTATCGTAATGATTTTTTCTGAAGCCAGAAATAACTTTGCAGCCTTCTTTGGCATCTTTGAATATGTACAAAGCAATAAACATACATAAAGACAAAGAACATTTAACCAAACAAAGAATGTTATGTGCGCGTTTCAAATACAATAAATAATCAAAACATGCAACCCTGCGATTATTTTACCATTTTAAACTAAATATATATCTGAAAATAGGTATAGCATAAAAAGGGATATGATTTAAAACAAGCAAGATACTGGGCCATAGAACCGATGTTTTAACTATAAGAAAAGTATAAGGGTGTACCCAAAAGTAACCGGAATGAATTTCAGTCACCGCTTCTGCTTCTAGCAGCTTTTAGCGACACCCTTTCCGAGTCAGTTCGCCGTCCGGCGTCGTCTCTTAAACGGGATGAGGACGATTCGTCACATGCGCACTCGTCACAGGACGATTGGTCACAGGACGATTCGTCACATAGGAACATTCGTCACAGGATGACTCGTCACGCGGGCAACTGGTCACATCGATCGGGCAGGGGACGATAGTAAATTGTAAATTTCAACAACTGCCCACATTCCCAGATGAGGAGTTTCACGACTTCCCACTGTGACATAAACCAATGGTTGGAAAAACTAATCTTACAATACTCATCCGATTTTCTTTTCATCATATTACGACTCTTCAGAAGGTTGATGTAAGTTGCTGGCTTGAACAAGCAAGAATCCGACTGGCAGCCAAATTAGTTTTTACTTTGCCTTGCATACACCTCTTCGAGAAAACCAATAAGTATCGGAATTCTTTCTGCTGCATGTGTACGAGTACCCCTTGTGCAGCTGCATGGCTCCACCTCTCTCTGTTGTGATCATCTCCATCCTTTTGATTGTAGTCCGAGTTCAAAAATAGTCGCTTTTATATGTCCTCCGCATTCACCATTCGGGACAGACCCAGAAGCTAAAACGCCTATTACAAATTCTTCGACCTTGAGAAGCGAAAGGCATGCAAAGATAAGGGGTGACACACTTAATCAGGACGAACCAACATTCAATGTTCGGACCGAACCAGAAGCTAAAACGTTTGTTACAAATTCTTCGCCTTTCAGAAGCCAAAGACATACTAAGATATGAGGTGAGCCACTTTGTCCGCCCGAACCAAATTGAACAACACATTTTTGGGGGGCGAATTGTAGGACCGGTTGGCCTCGTGACGAGTCGTCCTATGACGAATGTTCCTGTGTGACGAATTGTCCTGTGACCAATCGTCCTGTGACAAGTGCGCATGTGACGAATGGACCGTATCCCCTCTTAAACATGTAGCAGCATGTTCTTCATTTTTTACCCAAGCGCTTCAGAATCACATCTCGTTTTTTTTTTTTTTTTTTTTTTTTTTGCAATCAGACATTGCGACGACTGTTCAAAGAGATTGTTGTCCGAGCACCGTAATTTTTTTGGAGCAAAGAAACTTTTTCGCTTGTTGCCGAAGGAATTAAAGTATTACTAACACTGGCAGCATAAAATATCAAATGTTTCCACATACCTATGGCAGATACACCCTCATAATAACAAGTAGGCGTTTAAAGTGCTGTAATGGTCCACATAAAACATGATGTCTATTGGCAGTTATCTATCCCAACTTTATTGTCAAGCAACCGTTGTGAAAGTCTACAAAATCTAAAAAATAGGCCATCAGTAAAAGTCACGTTCCAATTGCTTATATGAAGTAACTCCATGCAATAAAACTTGGCGTGAATTGTGCAAAAAAAAAGGAAGAGCATATTGCGTGCTCATTTAGCTCGAGAACGCGCCCGGAAACAGCTTCACAAGCTATACAGAATGAATACACGCAGTAAACACTACTCCAACATACCTTTACCAAATCCCTTTGAGTCGCGAATTCGAAAAAAACAAAAAAACAAAAAAAAAACAAAGCACCTCTGGCAGTGCTGCAGCACTGGGAATCCAAATCGCATCCCATGATTCCGCTTCAAGACACCAGAATTGCGTCCGAAGCAGTTCGAAATGACGCTATCGGAGTCGGCGCATTCCGTTCTGGTTATTCTTCCTGCTCCTATATAAAAGCCGAATGACGCGCGTGGCACGTCACACCAAGAGGCATCTAATGAGAAGGCTTTATTTCCAAGCAAACGTTCGTTTCTCGTTCTTTTTGTTTGGTATCTTTCTCTTCCACAAATTTGTCACTTGTAGGGTGTATCCTTTTTTTTTTTTTTTTTTTCATTTCGGATTTGTTTAGCCACGGACGCGGTGAAGTGAAGATTGACGTTCCGGACGCGTTGGGTTCGTTCTTCGTTGTTAATCGTAGAAGTAACATGGTATAGAGACGACCGCGGGAAGGCATCAAAATACTGTCCTTCAATGCGCTTAGTGAAGCGTTCTGTGAATCAAGTGTGTGTCGTCGAGGATTTTGATTTCAACACATAACTTCCTCAAAAGATTTTATTCAATGTAGGACGCAGAAACGAGTCCCGAGTTCTCATTTTTTTGATTGAAGTGGCCATTTACTATGACTGCGAGACTCCATCGCTGAAATTGCCTTTTTACAGACACGTAATGTGGTTTAATGAGAGACAAGAATGAGATGTGTAGGTTTTTAAAGACGTTTTGTTTGGGCCAATATTTGCATGCCTGCACAATAGGAATTGCGTTGATGGCACTTGCCAAATATCGACACATCATTGTTAACGAGATAGCCGAGTTGCCTTGGAGTACATACAATTATTAACTCGAATTTACACTCCGCGCAAAGGACAACGTTCCACGTAATGTCTGAACGGTGGTTGCACGATAAGAAACTCCAGAGTTTCATCCGAGTTCGGCAAACACTTTCAGCCGGGCTGGGCTGGGTCACGTATCTCCCGAGGACAAGCGTAACGTCGGTTGCTAGCAACCTTGCCTTCAGGGACTACAAGATAAAGATGCACCCTGTCTGAGGAATACTAAGGGTAGGTCTTGTTAGCACACGCCCCTCGGTTGGAACCGGTTCAGTGCAGTTAGCCCCCCGTACACGGTAACTGGCTCGGAGCACTTAGTCTGTCCGGGGAACACATAGGAGTTCAGAGGACCAAATTCTGCCATTAGACATTTGAGGCCACCTCTTTCCTTAGGGTGTGCATCCTCGGTGAACCAGTCGTACATCCATTTTTTTACCACGCGGTTACCCTTCTGCCTTCCCACTTGCAGTGTGTGGAGACAGGTGACAAAAGGGAGGACGTTGATTCGTTCGGCTGGTCGTAGCTTTAATCGCAGTGTCTCCAAACGCATGAAGAGAGCACAGCTTGCTAATGGTCGGCAACTACTGTCAAGCGAATTATGTCCAAGCCCAACAATATCCATGTCACAACATCCATTCTTTAAATTAGCGAAATCACCCAATAGTGGTTCGCAAATCAACTATTGACATTTGGTTTGGTGAACAACTCGCAATATCGTATAAAAAATCAATGAAATCAACGAATCAAGAACCTATCACTCTGTTCCACTGAATATGTGGCGTGCCATTATTTTTAGCTTTAATATTATAAAACTCAGCAGTGTTTAGTAGCGCTGTTTGTTAAGTTGGAATTTTGTTTCAATTGTAGAAATCATTGCTTTTTAATGAATCTGTCCAACCTGGTCAAACGCCATTTTCTTAACAAGTTTTCACGCAGATAATTCTGGAACGCTACTCAGTTAGGTACGAATTATTCATTAAAACCCCTGCTCACAATCCACCCACACTGCTTAACAACTTCGTTATCGACTGCATTAATGTACGTTGTTCTAATATGGTGCCTGGAACTCGTGTCCGACTTCTGCGTTTACCGCGTCTTAAATAAATTACCGGTCCCTCAATTTCCGCCTGATGACTCCATCCAAGTGTTATATTGTCGCTGCTGCGATCCTGCTGGCGTAACAGCAGCAGTAGTGAATGCGCAAGACGGCCTATCTGCTGAAGGTCACTCTCCAGCATGACAGTCCATGAAGCTTCGGCTGCCAGGAGTTAGAACGCCACCGCGACGACATCGACACTCGCATTCACTTGTGTCTTTTTAGACTTAGGGTAGGTGGCGCAAGCTGCCGCCGATTAAAAACGGTATAGCCATTAACATCCGTCCAACATCCACCCCTCCATGTATTTTGCCGGAACAACTGCAACCAAAAGCCAGAATTGCGACATTCGGCAGCATTAGTCTCCGCTACTTGTGATATCATTTGTTTTCACTTCGATACCAGTTTCGATATATGGGTGCTATAAAGCCCTAAACGCACCAGTTAGAGACGCGTTCCAGGTACAATAGTTCTACCGAGGAAGCAGTGTGCGTTTATTCTCTTCAGATCAATAACATTTTTTTTTCTCATTTGTGTCATCTGTCCTTGTACACCAGGTTCGAAGTCACAAGTGAATGTTTCTTTTGAATGATTTTGCTGATGTCATTGTAAAAAATGATCCGGCAATAAAGTTCAACTCAATTTAATTGCTTGCTTGTCGATTGAAGAACATCAGAAACTGGCTCTGGTAATCTACCCTGCTACTTCACAGAAGATGCAAGGATAGTGAGAAGTGCTGTTGGCAGATGGCATACATTACGTCGAGAGAGCGCCTGCTGATTCGGGCTATTTCGCGACATAGTCTGCTTTCATAACCCCAATCGGCCGGCGATCCCTCGACGTGCCGCACGCTATCTGTCAGCAGCCCTTTTTACTAGGCGTGGATCGACTGCAAAGTGGCGGCGTAGATTGCCAGAGCAGGTTTCCGTTTTTCTTCTCCTTGAACGAGGTAAGTTAATTCCTTGATTTTCTAAGTCTATACTTCCACCACCTGGCCGCACCCCTGTAGTAAATTACAGTGCGATACGTTGAGAAACAGATTTTCGCGGGTTGTCTAATATGCCTTTAAGGGGCCGTTTAACATGGTGCAATCTGAGTAATCTCAGATCTTCCTCCATAGCGACGTGGCATATAGAGCTCTTTTCTATCAAATGTCCTTGGTAAGAGACACGAAAAACACCATCATTTTTTTGTGGTTGGTTCCTGGCACACATCAGCGCCTATCACCAGCCTGCGGATAAGTGGTCTGAGTAGTACGAGACCAGCCGTATATCGGGGCGCTACTCAAAGAGCGTCGATAAAAAGAGAGGAATATCTGGGGCTCTTCAAATGAAAAAAGGCAGGCTGCAGCCAACAAGGTCACGTGGAACCCAAGAGTCTTATTCCAGGTTCGTAACGATTGTTTCAATGTAGGTATTATTTTATAAATTTCTGTGGCTTTTCCTGGTAAAATTCGAGACTACCATTTATTTACGCAAAACGGTGCCATTTCAAAACTCCAGGTGTACTACACACCCACTGAAATTCTAGTTTCCAGATATTCGTAGTTAGTTTGCATTTCGCTATTAATTATATTTTTTTTTGTAGTGGAACCTACTTACCTAAACTAAAGACGCCGTATATAATAACTGAGTACTGTGGAATTATAGTTTATTTCAAGAGCTCTTCTAAATAAGTTAGAATGAAGAATTGGGGCAATAACTAGCGTTTTTTTTGTCTTCATGGCACGCCCAAGCTATATATTTGTCATACCTCTGTTTTTTGCAATGCAATGTTCAACTCACCTAGAAAATATTTTGCCAAGCTCGCTTAACCTTTCTTGCATTATGATTAAAAAAATAAATGTCGTGTGTGCTATTCAGGAAGCGTAGTTCTTTGAACAAGGCTTTGATGTTTTTTTTTTTTGTTTGTCTTTAATTTAGGGCCTTAAAGAGCACGAAAAAGTCAAGATAGTGCCAAACTAAACTTTTTCCGGTGAGAGTCTGGGCATCTTGGCCCCAATTCCTCAAAAAATAGAGCTATAGTTTGGCTCCACCGTTGTATGATTGGTTGTTGTCTTGCATCTTGTGGCCTAAATTACCAAGCAAGTGCCAAAGACAGTCGTCATTTTGGTTGCATCGGTGTTCAAGTCGCCGTTTTGGGACTAAATTGAGAAACGAGTGCCAGATTGAAATTTTACCGCTGGTTTTCCGGTTCATACATGGCATCTTTGATCCAGGTGTCGCCCTTTTATGATTATATGGGGACCCAGAAAGAGTTAATATAAATTCCAAATAAAAGTACACTAGCATTATCTCTTGCAACTCGAACCGTATTAGGACTAAGTAAAGCCCCTGGGATCTCCAAGCTTGAGCCGAGTTGTGCAATTCTCTGGCGTGCTACCATAGAGATTTTTAAAAGTCAAGAAGTAGTATTTTATTAATTTTTTTTTCTGCTTGCTTTTATACCCTTAGTATATATAAATATTAACTTTCTTTAAATTTAAAAATTCAGAGTCAGCAAGGCCGAAAACATGTAGGTACTTTTATTGATGCTATTCAATATATCCTTACCGATGTTCCTGCGAAGCAGAATAAATAAATTATTAAAGGTAATGAAAACTAGTTTACTTAATGATAGCGAAAGGAAAATTAAGACCACACAAGGAGGTGATGATTGCAGGTAAGGCTTATGGCAGTTGGATATACGTAGAAAATACAGAGTCGCATTTTTTCTTTCGTTCTTTTTATTTATGGGCAAGTGATTTGCGACGGAAAAGGATGTCTTCACGGTTCTATTCATACCTCTCCGAGTCTGTCAAAGATACTTCTCCGAGTATGTAAAAGACCAGCATTGATGATGAAAAAAAAAAAGGATGACTGAAACACCGCATGAAAACCTACACCAAGTGCAAACCACTGTAGATTCCCCTCGCCCCCCCCCCCTTTCCCCTATTAGGACGTAACGAAAATTGTGAACGTTCTGGGTAGATTGTTCCCAAACACAAGCTAAACTAAATAGACAAAACGAACTGAAAACGTGGTACTCTCTGAAATGATACAATGCAAGTAATTATAAATTATGCGCCTTTGAAGCCTTTTTAGGCTTCAAATAAAAAATAAACATTTAACGCATTAATGCAGGTCGTGTGATACGCTCCAGCCCAGCGCCTACTACAGATTACTATATGTTACGTTCACGATTCTGCAAGCAGCCTGAAGAATGAAGATTTTGAGGTCGTACTGCAAATTTACTTTATAAACGTTTTTTTTTTTAATTTTAGTTTGACCTTGATTAAAAAAAAAAAACGAATGGGAATTAAGAAGGCACTCGTTACAATTTGTGAACTACCAATTTCAGGTAGTGATGGTTTCACAAGATATGCAGATAATATTTATGCGTCGTAAAAATTACCATGCTAGCATATTTAATGTATTCTAAGAATTGTATGAACTTCTGAAAATACGCATTCATGATGCAAAATGTTACCTGTAACAAACGCCGTGGGCAAGGATGTTCACAAATATAAGAAATCAAAAGGACGCAAACCCCAGACCGGAAGTTATACTGTGACCGACATGAGAGAGTTTTGTTTCTTTTTCTTGTCCTTCAAGGCATAAATACTTTTAAATGTGTCTAATTGAGGAAAGGCCCGCAGAAATAAAACAGGTTTCAGATTGAGTAACCGGAAGATGGAAGCTTCCAAGGCCGACAGAAAACAAGGGTGACCGTTTTAGCGCTGATCGGAGTATTTTTTCCAACGCACGCCATGTATTCCTGCAGCTTCGGCATCGGGGCACATTAATCGAAAATGTCTCTGTTGGATCGGCTGGCGATCGTCACCGGGGGAGGAAGCGGCATAGGCAAAGCAGTCTGCCAGGCCCTTGTCAGAGAAGGGGCGGTGGTCGTCGTAGCGGATGTCAACTTGGACGCGGCAAAGAAAACAGTTGCTGAACTGAAAGGTAGGTATTGTCAACGCCTTGCAACTTGCAGCGTTTAATGATTATTCACAGCCCTCACACCACAAATAAAACTCGTGGTTAGAGTGGAAAGGATCCTGATTAATATGAACTCCCACTGCAAGCCTTATGATGTCAAAACGCAGTTTATGAACCAGTACTATTTTTGTGTGTGTTTTTATATTAAACAAGCAAAATATTTCGGAAAAATAAGTCTATAGATTCGAGTTCTAAATTCAATAGACCGGCTTTATGCAACATGGTGCCATAGAGTTTGCATGGCACATGCAATATCTTGGTTTTTTCAATGTGAGAAAGGAGTTAGTGCTGAAGAACATTGCATTAATACATCGTAGTAGTGAGTTTTGCTTTTCTGTAGTAGCTTTTTTTGTGGCATGCTCCTACTGTACTCATAATTTCAGGCAGAAAGACAGGCGTGCAAATAATGTTATAAATAAATATAATAGAAAATGTAGCTAATAGATAGTTTATAAAATTGCCCTTGCACCTCAGGCATCAGGAGATACAATATGACGCATACACGTAGCAAGAGCCTGATAAGGCTGGGTTTTGAGGGCCTTTATGGTTCAAGAAGATAGCATTGTCCTCAGGGCAGTGGTTGATAACGCTATGTACAGATGCATTCGTCCCTGTTTTTCGACCAAGAAAAGTACTTCAAAAAGACATCGGTTTTCAAAGAGCGTATTTCCGAGAGTAGTGTTTTATGAAGAAAGAACCAATTTGTATATTTTTGGAGATTTTCAGATCGTTTCCCTCAATATCCATGAGCGTCCTGCTGATCACCTAGCATGTAGATACCCCAAAAGCATTTCTTGCAGTTAAACTTGTAAGTGGGTGTCATTTGCGACTCATGTTATAAAGACCAGGTAAATCTTTACTCGTAAATACACCTACACTAGTGTCAGATATGAAGGTTAACATGTCACCGCCAATTTATCGGTATAAACGGAGCCTCAGGAACGGGCGGGCGTGACACCCTGCGCGCTTTATCTAATGCTTTATCGCGACCCTTGCCGCGTTTGGTTGGGAAATCGCAGTATGTAGGCTGTTGTCGATTGCGTCTTCACCTTCACATGAAGCACTGTCGTACTTGCCGTGAAATTCAGCACAGTGTCTCACGTTGCCTGCATTATAATTAGTGCCAGAGCGCAAAACACCATGTTATGGCTAAAAGGGTTCTCAAATCTTGACCTGAGCTCAACTTTCTCTCTAAGTTAGAATTACTGGCTCTCGCTACGGCGAAGCGCAAAAGACGTTTTCTTTGAGTGTTCGTTTGTGAAACCTTTGATGTGTAATCGAGACACGAAAGCTTATGTAAAATTCAGTTCTACAAAACATCATGAATGTGAAGAGATATACTCCTTTCTTCCTTCAAATATTTTACGTCATTCTTTGAAGCAATCAACGTGGTATGTCTCTCTTTGAAAAAGGCAATATATTAAGTGATTTATGCCTTTGGCTGAGATGTTGTTTCTGTCTGTATTTCTTCTGAATAGACGTTACTAATCTTTTTCGCAATCCTGAAATGTGCGTTAAATAAAGCTCTAGAGCATGACCCAGCACTTTACGTACTATATGTTAAATGTGGCAGCAGTTGTGACAATCGAGTGTATTTCTTCTGTGTTGCATAATCTAAATTGGAAATAATCTCAACCATGAGATATATTACTGTCGTCGCTCTGGCTGTTTACCAGGTAACGCTCACGTGGCACTTCAAGTGGATGTGGGCGACTCTACCTCCGTCGCCACACTCATCAAAAACGTCGGCTCCCAATTCCAAACTCCGCTGAGCATCGTGGTGAACTGCGCCGGTGTGGGCAAGATGTCCTCAGTCGTGGATGTGCCGGAAGAAGACTACGACCACCAACTGCGAGTAAACCTCAAGGTTTGTTATATTTCGCTCCTACATAAAACAGGTCATACCATCAAAGGAGTAATATGTATTGCAATATCGCCCAAGTAGGTTCATCAGTATACGCGAAATTAGCTTATATACTCACCACTAAACTTCGTCGCCAGGTCACTAAAATGCTATTAAGGAGGGGACAAAAAGAAATATTATGTTCAGCCTTATATTGATCCGTTCCTTTAGTAATCAATATTAGTGGGTCTGATGCATTACGCTGACTAAACGACAGCAATCGAAAAAAATGACGTTATTTATTTGAAGGCTTGCGGCACTGTGTGAGAAGTGTTCCATAGATTATAAAATTGCCAAAAATTGTCTGTGGAAACTGTGTCTCTTATATTAAGGTTTGCAAATAAAGTCCACTGGAAGCATTTGAGGATTCAACTTTTATTCATTATGACAGCTATGTTCGTCAACATCCTAGAGTAGCACGTTTTTTTTCTAAAACGCTGAGTGTTACCGAGTGGCGACCCGAAATTCGGTCTTCAGGTTTTTCAACCAGATTTGATGAGCTTTGCGTTTGGGTCCGTTGGGAATTGGGGAGTACATTAAACGGTAAGGGTGTGTCCTTTCGCGCGTAGTTAAAATATTGCTCAGAAACGCGCTCACACTATCGACAGCACGATCATTCAGTTCCCCGTAATGAACATGTTAGAAACGGCAATCAGATCATGCAAAAAGCCACAAAGATCTGTTGCAGTAAAAAAGCTGCTCATATGCCGCATCAATTATATGCTTCGGCAACTATGCATTAAACGTTGCTGGCATTTCTTTGCGACTCCAAATGCCGTATTTCTCCCAATATTTGTTTCAATTGCAATAGCGACAACCGAACGCGGTAGAAATGTCGTGTCGTGGTTAAAATTTGCTTTCTAATTATGAAGTGAAAGGACAAACTTCTATATAGGAACGTTTATGAGTGTCATGATGTAAAAACAATTCTTAAATACCTACATTAATGACTCGAGTCTGCGATTAGATTTCAGCACAAACTATTTTTATGCGTGTTCAAACTTGGCCAAGGTTGCTAATGTTCTACTAGCTGAAATGCTCAAGTAGTTGTCATTAAACGTTTTAAGAAGTTTATCATCCTAAAAAGGCTCTAATGCGTAATAAACTTTTCATTTCGTCCATTTTAACTTTGTATCTGGAGATGCAAGTGAAATGGTGATGCAATTACAATGTGTTCATGCGTATATTTATAGACCAATCGAGTTTGTGCATTATTATATCGTTATTAACCGATTGAATTTCTGCATAGCCACTGATATTAAACATTTGAGTTTTGGAACACAACAACCGCAGATTTACGACAATATTAAAAAAAGTACATTTTGGATTATTACTTGTTAAATGCAATTTCTCCCCCCCCCCCCCCAAAAAAAAAAAATGAAAGAACAGGTTGCTTTTTCAAATACAATTATTTCAATGCTTGAACTATCCCGGAACCCCTACTTCGAGATATTTGTCCATTCACACATTCATGCATGCCCCACGGTGGGTATGCGGCCGGCCATTAAAAACATTAGTTTCGTTACCCGTGCAACACAAACAAGACAATGCACACAATCCTTTATTCGGAAGTAAACCAATATGTGAGCATCCCCCGCCAGGAATAGAAACCAGAACTTCTCGGTCCCCAGCCCAAGGCTCTAGTTAAATGATTTTTTGTGCGGTGCTCACAGTAAATATTCAGAGTAAGTGTAATCAATTACCTTTCGGAGTAAGTGTAATATCAAGTTTACAATTTTATTAGGCGGTATCTAAATTAGTAATTTCTTTATTTTTAGAAATATTAAAATTACCTCTGCTATTACAACTTGAGAATCCCTACCCTCTCCTTTGATTCATTTTTACCACCGCTTAGTCAGCAGAGTTTGAGCTGAAATCGCTGCGATATGTCCATATTACTGGCTTCTAAATCATGCAAACAACAATGAATAAAACGTGTGTTACCGAACTGTATGAAAGGAGGACTTTTTTTTTTTTGTCTGGACGGTTAACAGGGTGGTTTGTTGTGTTCCAAGATTGAACTGTGAAGTATTAGTTGTTTACGAACGCCCTTCGGTGCAAGGGTAATGGCTAATGTAGTATCTCGGTTTTGTATTATAAGTGTTCAAATAGTCTTTCTTAACACTTCTGTCCCCAAGATAACCAAAATGAGGTGATTTGAATGCTAAGGTGTGAACAAGGGGAATGCTATATTTTTGCTATATGCAAACTAAGCGGCTGTAATTTCACAACAATCTACCATTTTTTTTTTGAGCTTCAGGGACTAAGACGCTTTCAGAATAAAGTTTCGTGAGCGAGGCAAAATCAACCGCGAACATTCCTTCTAGAAACGAAGCAATACATTATGTCGGCTCTATTGAGCAACTGCACCTAGAATGAGCTCTCAAAATATTCATGCGTGCGTCGTATGGCGTATTTTTTGACCTCACGCTTGTACAAAGAAGCTTTTTCCCTTTCCTTCCTAACAGAGCGCCTTTGTTACATGTTTGCGACACAGCAATTTCTGAACCAAATTTCCGATGCAGGATTGTTCTATCAAAATGGTGGATAAAGAATAGGAGATTTTACACTTATGATTCTAATGCAATATTGAAGATTACGGAAGGCCGATTACAAGCTGGCAGAAATATTTGCTTCTTTAAATATCTGAAGTAACTGAAAAAGTAAAGTCGCTTTTCCCAAGTAACGTTCAATAATTCGCTCGCAAGTAATCAAGTATTCTATATGGTCTCTTTTAACCAAACGTAATTGCAATTGCAATCTATTACCTTCTTTGGGCAACGTGTACTAGATTGAGTACATTCCCTGCTTGATTACTTTGTATGTGCATCGGCTTTGTGAGTGAACTGTTCGGGCAAGCGATTAGCCCATCCGACAGTTACCAGATGGATATACTATCCATTCTGCATAAGGATGTTGTATAGGAAATAATGATAATGTTTTTCCCATCTTAAATATTTCATATCGTGCAAACAAATTCAAACGATTGCTTTTTATTGAACACATTTTATGCATACGCCCTTGAACATAAAAGCTGTCATAACGTTTGGAATACTATTATGAGCATAAATATCAGGAAACATTTATACGCAATTGTAATTGATATAAGAACCTATAAATACTGTGATAAAATAATAAAATAATCTTGCACCTGAAATAAAAGAAACACACCAAATCACCTCAACCGATAGTGGCACAAGCGTTTTATCTTCTTGTTGGTTTTCCTTAAAAAACATCGCGACAACTCCCCATTTTCAAACAAACGCGATAGATTGAACTGTTGACTGAAGACGTTAGAAGCAAATGAGCTCTTTTTTAGCTCCCGCAATGTTGCGAAATTTAAAATATTAAAAGCATTCACAATATTATTAATGGCCTGTCCAAGCAATTCTACGCCGTACTCGCCAAAGTTGATGTTTATATTTTTGGATATATATATATATATATCTTTTTTTTTGCATTTTCAGGGTACCTTCCTTGTCAACCAGGCCGCTGTAAAGGCGATGCTGGTGAGCAAAGTACCCGAGGCCGCTATCGTGAACATAGCCAGCATTTTGGGCAAATGCGGTCTAGCGAATGCTGCCGCCTACGCAGCCTCCAAGGGTGGCGTAATTGCATTCACCAAGTCTCTGGCCCAAGAGCTGGCTGGTACAAACATCCGCGTGAACGCCCTACTGCCAGGAGCAACGCAAACCCCCATGTTAGATTGCATGCCCGAAGAGATTGTGAAAGCGATCATCGGTTCGGTTCCGATGCGGAGAATAGCGCGCCCCGAGGAAGTGGCCGACGCAGCGGCATATTTGTGCTCTTCACGCAGCTCCTACATTACTGGGACTAGCATGGAGGTCGCCGGTGGGTTGTGCGCTTAAAGTAAAAATATGTATTAGTGGTAAAAGGCTTTTATTTGTCGCTACCTCAATAAAACTATAGTATTTCTGTTGCTCCATTTTTGTATATTTCTGTTCCTGTGTTTCCGTTTTCTAGCCATTTATAACGAACAAAATAAATTTGTAATGTTATATTTCAATTACTTGATCTTTATTTACATAAACAGCAAGGTTTTGTTTCCGAAATGAGCAGTCATAGCACTTCATTCTGGACCATTTCACAGCGACATGTTTCGGTGGCCGTCAGCGACATTGCGAAGCAAGACAAAAAGAGGTTAAAAATGTTCGCGCTTTCATTGTACAATCAGCGCGGAATGAAACCCGAACGCCGGAACGCGTGGCCGCTGATACAGGCTGCTCCACCTGGAGGGCCCCTGAGAACTAAAGGAGATGCACCGGGGTTTGAGAGTGCGGGGCCTACTAAGATGAGCTCGACCATCGCTCGGCGCGTCTGGGAGTTCTGCGCTTCGCCGGTGGCGCGCTGTAAGCGCCGTCACATTCGATACAAAAAGCACTGCCACTCGCTTTGTGTATCGGATTCCCAGCGATATCTCTTCAGCGCTGTCATTCATTATCACTTTGTGCATTGCAAGGGCGAAATTAAAGTTAAAACATTTCATGCACAGAAGACCCGTAGCGCTCGATGACGTGTCACCTGAAATAACGTGCCACGCGCGGTTTCTGAGAAATAGTGAAACGTCATAAACGCGAAATAAAATTTGTTTATTCGCACACCCATATTCTTTATGAAAAAAAAATGCTGCAACAGACTGACGTGGATGCCTCGGTTTTATGAGCAATGCGCATTTTTTCGTGGGAGGTTATCAGTCGATTTTAAAAAGAAATCGAGAAATTGCTCGCTGAGGTTCTCTTCGGTAACCACCGATATGCCAGGCGTATCAATTCCGGAGTGGAATAAATTCATTACCCTGTCTGAGCAGGGCCTATCGCAAACAGCTATAGCCAGGTTAAGCGGCCGCCCGGTGTCGACCGGGCGACAGTGCGGCGACAGAGGAGCACCCCCAGTGACGGCGGTTACAGCGCGCCACCGGCGAAACGCGAAAGTCCCAGACGCCCAGCGCGAGGGTTGAGGATATCTTAGTAGGACCCGCACCCTCACACCCAGGTGCATTTTCATTAGTTCTCAGGAGCCCTCCAGGTGGAGCAGCCTGTATCGATGGCCACGCGTTCCGGCGTACGGGTTTCATTCCGTGCTGATTGTACATCTCTTGCTTCAGGTGTGAAGAAATTAAGAGGAGGTTGTCAATATCCTAGCCGATATTTATAGAACACATGGCGTATTAGTGTTGTATTCTTTCTGATTCCAGTGTTATGGAGTGTCTAACATGAAGCTTCGTATTATTTTATCTTCTGGTTATTTGAATATAATATGTGGGGTATTTAATCATATTTTGTATTGAATACGTGTATCAGGCCTTGACATTTCTCCAGTGAACCATGGTTTGCTTTTCGGATTCCTTAATATTATATTGACTTCAATGAAACACACTCTTTTTTTTTTTTTGTTTTAATCCCTGGATAAGTAAGGTATGTAATATATATATACTGATAGAATTAGACAACTACATTTAGGGTACGAGTCTCATATTAAGCATGTGCCGCTCTTTTATTTCTCAGTGGAGTGCAAAAGTAGAAGAGCACTTCGGATTAGCTCCTCAATCAAAATGAGTCACCGACGAATGCGTTTATATAAATTTGTTTTTCTTTTCGGCTTAATAATTTTTTGTGATACAATTCAATAAAAGTCAAAACATGATAACTAAAATACAATAACAAAGAACAACATAACAAAAAGTATATCGAGTTTATCAACACAGTCATGGGAAATAGGAACACCCCCACTTACCAGTACGGACACATTTTTAGGCACCATGGGGAAGCAAACTAGGCAAAGTTCAAAGTATTTTCTTTGTTAGTTAGAATTACTAGATTTCTGCTCGGTTTCCACCTATTATGCTTTTTATCGTTATTTTTTTGAGAAGACAGATCGATTTATGTATAATCACTTGTTCAAAAATTACGGGAAGGAAGCTTTGTGAACCTGGAAACTAAAGTCTAATTTTCGTGACTCGCGTATTACGAAGCTTTATTGAAAGAACCTCGCTTTTCTGCTTCCTTACCTTTACAATTCTATCTTTGTATCAGGACTAAAGGCTTTTTTTTTCGTTATCCTCTGTTTACTTGCGCCTTATATATAAAGAAACGCATACTTCACTTTTATTCGAATGATACTTAAAGGGTATTAAAAGAAAAGCATTCCTCTCAAATCTAGAACTTTATTTTTTACAACACCACTGGTTTTCGATGCAGACAATGATTTGTTCTAAGCTTGATACTTACTATTCTAGTTATATGAATGTTAGAGACGCCGAATGATTAACAAACATCTTAAACAACTTGACAAAGTGTCCACAGTTACTGCGAGGCTACAGAAAAAGTACGGTGTGGTTTATTATGTTTACGACTTCGTTGTGATTTGGCCTTCTTATGTTTTAATGCAGAAATTTTATTGGTTGTAAAGCGTTCAGATATGCTGTTGGATTTGCGATGTCCTCAGAACAAAAATCATTACGTCTTTGTGAAGTATTCGATAGCCATGACTCCACTGAGAATATTTGCAAACTCTGCTGGGTAATGCACGGTAAAAAAAGACGATTAGAAGAAGCAGTGCAATTTACCTTCTTAACGAATATTCCAGATATACCGTAGTTGATATATGTGCAGGCAAACAACCGCTGAGAGTTATATGCGCTCAAAAGGAACTAGAAGCTATCAAGAAATTTTGTTGTAAAGGCATCCCTTGGAAGCCTCTAGAGTTTATTCTAGACTAACTTTGTATAGAATTGTCTCAGGGGACATGGATAACAGCATGACGGGATAATGCAACTGCAATAATTTTGAGATTTGAAGATGATTGCAGACAATCGGACATGAGAGGCAAGATCACGGGTGCGCGCTGATAACATTCGAAGCCAAGCGGGGAGCCGCGATGGTCGTCAACTGGGCGTATTTGGGTCCGGCTTCGCCCCGGCCCCGAGCTGCCAACCCCTAAAAGAGCCGGACTTCCATGATTTGTCTGGGAAAGGCGGGGTCTGCATGCTACGTCCAACAGCTTCGAATCTTCGGTGCTTCGAGGCTAAGACAGAGCGAAGACAGCATCTTCCCAGACTCTATGCGCCATGCAACACCGATGATTATGCATCTGAGAATATTTTAAAGTGACTAAGTGTTTAGACGACACTACAGGGATGCCTTTTGTCTTACAAATATGTTATCCTTTGTTGCTTTTTTCTGCGTCACCGGTTCTCCTTCCTGACTCTCTCGGCCAAACCTGACAATTCGACGAGGCCGCCAGGATTGGTCGTGGCCCATTTAACATCCTAGTTGCGTTTATTTTTTTCGGGAGGTGAGAGAGGGGAACGTAAGTTTTGTACCAACATGGCCCTGGCGAGCGGAGCAGCGCCTAAGAAAATCGTGCATCGGCATTGCAAAAGTCTGCGCAAAAGAAATTCCGATATGCCAAGTACGAAGAACGCTAATCTAACGCGTATGGTTCTCTGTTGTTAAAACACGCTATTTTATATTGGTGAAGTAGCTGCAAATGATATTTAGTTTCATAAATATTCGTACCATATTTCGCACGCATGTCGACTGTTTTGAGTAGTTGGAAGGTGCGCAGGCAACAGTAACGTAAAGTCGTTTCGCCTTAGCCATGACAACCCAACCCAATCTTCGTGCACGTTTTGTACGTACGCTTCGCGTCGAACACGCGACCACTCGATCATACTCAGACTCATGTTCATTATTTAATGGCCACTGGTTCTGATCCCGGGTTTGCTTCGCCACATCGCTTCCAGACGCTATTTAAGAAAGCTCCCTTCGGTAGTCTGGGGCGGCAGATTGTACTTAACGTATATTTTAAGCTTCGTGTGGAGATTCCGGCTGCGCCGTATCAGGAGATCTTTCGGAGAGTGGCAGACTTAACGGGTGCAGGTTACGCCACAATCTTTAGATAGAAAAATCTTGTTGAAAAGAGTGCCTTAACTTGCGCGCCGGCAGTGCCCTCACCTATACGCACGAGACGGGAAAGGCCTCCGGCCACGCCATGTGTGCTGGAAGCGTTCCATCACCAGGCACTCCGGCTGATCGTGCATGCTTTCTTCCGGGGAACGAGTGTCCGACGCTACTGAAGGCAAGTCCACATCTTTATGCCTCCGCTTATTTTATGCAATTTATTGAACTCCTAACTAGAAAAAGATGAGGGAGTGTTAAAAAATACAGATATGATTACCCCGTGACATCTGAAATAGCATTCAACCGCCTCCCAAATGAATCCACTGTTTGCACATATCTAGACGCTCGTGAACAAGGCCCAAATATTGCAGATGAAGTTACTTTGGCGCATGTTTGCTGTCTTTTAAATAAAGACTGCTGGCACCAAACAAGGCCAAACATGAGCGACAGACTTAATATTGTAATAAAACAAAACGTAATCAGAATATGCCGATGTGTTCACTTCAGTGTGAGGTACTATACGCTGTATTTATACTATGGAGTAAACTATCCCAGTATCCGGCAAATGCCGCCACAACTCCGAGGGCATAGTGACAAAATCCTGAATAACATTTGCACGTAATTGCAGCTTAATTTTGTCTGACAGGCCAAGTCTCCGCCTTAAGCTCAAACGTTTTTTATGGTTTGTTGTCATGACAGCCCATTTTTATTGCAACAAACAACTTGTTCTGGTCACACTGTAATTGCTGGATATTCTGTTATTCAATCTATTGCAGCAAATACGCTGAAATAAAAAAAAAATAGTTTTTAAATTAATTATTGAATTTTATCACAAATTGATAAAGAATAGAAGAAATGGCAATGTCCCCTTGGGAAACGAAGGAGTCCATTGACTGTCAATATGAACATTTAGAGGATCAAATGCTCTGTTTAGTACGTTTTCTTCCACTTGTTTTTCACCTCGTGTGTTTGAGACATATCCCGACAACACTGACCTAGTAATGAACAACACAAATCAGTTACA